ATATAAAATAAGACCCAACCAAAAAAAAAAATTTAAAAAGTATACACAAAAGTGAGTCCAAAGTATATAATCAATATGAAATAAACAGAAGAGATGCAAGTACTTCCTACAGTTACGTTAAGCTATACTCACTTCTGCAATAAAGTCCATACCTACATTGAAGTTTACGTAATAATAATTATTTGGTTCACCAACCACAATAGCAGAAATGCAAGTGCTTTCATAAAAAAGCGGGAAACAGGATTAAAGCAGCAGCACTACATTTGCATACACCAGCAGTTAAAAACAAGATACATTATACTCACTGCCCCTCAACAATATTCAAAGTGAGTAATTATTTTACATCATAGAAGCATGACTGGAGAAAAACCTCTAGTCACAGCATCAAATACATTTGCAACAATAACTTTATTAGTCAAAAAGAAACATAATAAATAAATATCGGCAACAACTTGATAACAGATGTTTAGATCTCTTTACCTTGATGAAAAAGTTGTATCTTTTACTCGAACTCTACTGTTCCTGATGCGTCCAAGAATTGGAAATTCTGCTATTTTCAGGACATCAGCTCTCTGAATGAAAAATAAAAAAGAAGAAAAAAAATTATATTTTAACAAAACTGGAGCATAATTAAATGCACTGAATATTCCCGCTAACAACCCTTAATGCCTTATAAAAATCTGCGGGCAAGCAAGTCAATCACCTCAATAAGATATGGCAGGTCAAATTTGCAAATGTTATATCCAATTATAATATCAGGGTCCACTTCACGGATAAAATCCTGAAAAAGAAAATAATAATACGAGATAATAAGTATGCAATAAAAGAAAGGAATAAACTCAACAATTGCAAGATATCAATTAGACTCCTTATATACAACTTAAAGACAAAAAAACGGTATTTTGCAACATAACCCACTGATAGAGTTCAAAGAGTTATTGAACATTATAACCCACTGATAGAGTTCAAAGAGTTATTGAACATTGTACCATATCATATGCCATACAAGTCTCTATTAATAAATTAGCATATCTCAGTGATTCGCTGCAGGCAAAAGTAAGAATATGGATCAAGACAACACAACCAACATGTGTTTCTGACAATGTTCAATCAAGTTTAGGAGTATAATTGCGATTGGTATTCATATTCTAAGCATCAATTTTGATAAAATAAAAAATTAAACAAAATAAGAGGTTAACTGAGGTGGCAAAGGTAAGATAGAGCCAAAATACTGTTCAAAGTTCAAATCCTCCTCGTGTATAAAATAAAATATATAAATACAAAAATAATACCCTCCATGCTAGCAGGACTTCTCTTTCAGTATCAAATGACATCACATCAGCGCCAACTATAGGCGAACATGATTTAAGAGTCATGACATTACGAATAAATGGTTGATCTTCTCCTTGCAATGTGACCAAGTTGGCAATCTAAAAGAAGACAACAGGACATCAATTCAGGAACAATAAACTTATAGAAACTATATTTATTTTGGAGTGGGAGATGGACCTGGATAACAGGATCATGGGTAGGTTCAGGAAAATGACCTTTGCGACCAGCACACTCAATATCAAAACTCAATATGCGAAATGGAGCCATCTTTGAAAAATCCCCTTCTGGTGCATGGCTAATCAACTCTGAATACCTGGAACATTGTTAAGGGACCAGGGGACACACCAGAAGTTTCATACACAAAATATGCCAGTGCTCTTTGAAGGGAAAAACAAATAATAGCACCTCGTGAATAAGGATACAGGCAGTCAAACTCTAATTGGCAGTAAGACAAGTTCTTTGCTGTCTTCTTGTATTTTCCAGCAGGTACTTCAATCCAATTTCCACCAACTATATTGCAATCAATCATGAAACGAAGGGCGAACAGAACATTGCTTTCATAAGTCATAAAGCTCTTCATGCCAAGGCCATCAATCTGAATGCCTCTGTCAAGAATACCTGCCAAAATTTTTAAATTTCCATAATAAACAAATAAACTTACAAAGAGACTGCTGTACAGAAATATGACAATGAAAAAACACATAAACCAAAGCATGAGTGTATATATGGAAGAAACTAATACCACACTTGTTCTGTTATGCAGACCACAGTTATTCCATGAAAATCATTATTTCATAAATTTATGACCAACAGGACTAATAATGAAGCATAAAGCATCCATTGGGCAATAACCCATCATAGCATGCAATGGACTCAGACAAATTTTGGAAAGATGAATAATAAATACTCCCTCCATTTCAAAATATTTGTCCTTTTAAAGGGAAAAATTTGTTTCATATTACATGTCCTTTCTTAATTCCAAAATAACATTTAATATCATTTTTTCTGTTTTACCCTCAGAGTAAAATAATTTTTTTAGAAGCATTAAAGTAATATTAGCAATAAAGCAAGTTCGGGGAAGTATATCATAATTTTACCCATTTATTGCATTTATTAATCTGTGTGCAGTAAACTTAAAAGAATAAATATAAAGAAAAGGAAGGAGTACTGATGATATCTAACTTTACCTCGACAACTGGCAACCATCGTTGGCAGTGCAACGACAATTTTCAAAAATGGCTGGGAATTCTGCTGCTGATAGTACATAATACTCTTTCTCTGTACCATTTCAATACGACGAACAAATTGTGGCACTTTACTGTTTCTATTGGACTCTTTCATCCTCCCCTGTAGCATCCAAGTCATGCATATAAATGAAGGCAACTTATGAACAGAGCATAATATTTCTCTTCAAGTGATAGGCCAAGTACCTCAAGGATTTTATGAAAACCAGAAATATCATCCGGTCTCATTCCAGGAGGGCAGCCGATGTAAAAATATGGCTCAAATCCATGAACATTGCAGCAAACGCTACGTCCTAAGAAACAACCAACATAAGAATGTATTTCCATGAAGCATAATTGAAGGACAAACTCGTTGAGTATAATAATTAAATTCTGAAGCCAGAGTGGCTTGCCCAAGCTTCTTTTCCCCCCCAAAATACCTGAGTTGATATAGAGAACACAGTGAAGCTACAAATGGTTCATACTTTCAAGGATGATATATAGGCGCACTTCTACTGATAGATGTGATTGACAGGTTTTCATACAGCTTTCACAGGTAAGTCGCTTTGAAAAATATTGCTCGTAAACTGTGTATACAATGCTTTTCAGAGCAGAAATGTGAAATAACCAGTATTCCTTATTTTGAGGTATTGATCGCATTATATAGACTTCAAAACTACAGATAATGAAAATTAAGATGATACCATAAGAATAGGTGTGGTTTCTAAGTCTAGATTTGGCGCTTAAACTTTTAGTTTTATTCTCGAATGCGCAAAAATATAACAATGCAAGTTCCTTTACTGTAAACAATAGCAGAAGTCCGTCGAGTATGAACAGATAAATCTCCAACTCCTGTATTCGATTCTCTGAACAAAAATTTTTCAATCAGAAGAGAATTTGATAATGAGCTAACCTTCCTTCGTAACTCCAAATATTCTAATAATGGCGGCTGGTCCAGACGAATTTGGCAGCAATTCTTTATGACTCTCTCCGATAACATAATCAATGTCCAGCTGCTGAAAAACTAAAATCCGAAAAGAAGAGACGATCAAACTCCACCAAGACAAAACCAAACCCTAGGAACTCAGCACGAGGGAATTCTCAGAAGCTGTGAGGTTGCAAATACTCACTAATGCTGCAAGATTGCGAAAGATGCTCGGGAGAGAGGTGCGGACGGGTCCATTTGGCAATGCGAGAAGCGAGAGCCTGGCGTTGCTCAATGTCGCGGAGGATGAGGGACTCTTCGTCTTCAGAGATAAGGGTTTCGTCCAGAAAGACATCCTCATCGAAGAACTCTTCTTCCTGTGAGAATGCTTGGCTCTTAGGCTGGCTAGCCGGCGAGGGTTGCGACGGCGGCGGTGGGCGTTTTCGGTTGCCGTTATTCATGGTTGCTTTCAGGTGCTTGAAGAGAGAAGCGCCAGTACAACGGTGGGACTTGAGAGCATGGGGGAAATGAGATTCCCGCCAGTTTTTGCCGGGGTATTTACCCTCTCCCGCCTCGTTTTCCCGCGGGCGATGTATGTGATTCGGGCCTCTTTTTTAGATCGTTTAGGGCCCAATCTGCAAGGATACTCTTGGTCAACTGTGGGCCTTGTCTAGGCCTACAGCAAGACATGGTCTCTTTTGTGAGGATGCGATTCAGAAAACTTAATTTTGTTTATCCATATAAAAAATACTTTTTTTTGTCGTGGTATTAAAACTTTTGGCTTTGACTAATAAGTACTGATTTTTTTATTCGTGTTTTTTCACAAAGGCAGGTTGATATACCCACACAGTCTATAACTCAAAATTATATATGTGATTGATATTGGGACAAAAAAATTTGCATGCGCAGACTTATCTAAACATATACTCGTTTGTACTCGCGCTCAAATTGTTTCTGTAATGTTCTTAAACTGTGTACCAAAAATTTGGCCAAAAAAACACTATATACCCAGAAAAGAAAAAAAAAATCCTGAAGTACATTATCATCAGAGAGAAAACTCTAATTTTAATCCTCACGATACAAAATTGTCCCTCGGTAATTTTAACACGGGCCACGTTTAAGGTACGGAGACTTTTGAACATGCCCGCCATTTGAGAATCCCAACAATTCTCAGACTTCCATGCGACTACACGCGCCGCGGGGGAAAACACTAGAAAATCTTCCTCTCATCCGTCGTGCAAGAACCTTCCTCTCTTAATTGGCCTTATCCCTCAAAATTTCTAACCCCCAATCAATGAACACGAAAGTCGACTTTTGTTTGGTCATGGAGGAACCTTCTTAGCCTTAACCTCAAAATTTCTAGCCCCCCAGTGAATGAACATGAAAATCCGCCTCTGATCCCTCGTGGAAGTACCTTCCTCTTAATTAGCCTTAACATCGAAATTTATAATCCCCAATGAATGATTAAAAGAATGGACGATGAAAAAGAAATTTGACGTTTCTCGTTCATCTTTATACAGATGCCTGCATCGAATCCCAGTTCTGGGCCCAACTCTATATACATTATCGCTTGTATTTTGTTAACCTGCCAGCTTGCTGGCGGGGCCTGCCTCGCATCGTACTTACTCCTCCCTGAATCAGAGAACTCATCCTCGTTAGCCATTGCAGGGGTCGCATTGGTTTGCCTTCCATGGGTGTTTTGGACATTCACATTCTTATACCGAATCTTGTCACGTACATTTGGGTTTAGACTTGGAACTGGTGGGGCTGGTTGTGGGGGAGGGAATTTCCCCAATGTCCCTAAGAATGCCAATTCAGGATCTGGTGAAGGAACTGATCAAGGCGGTCCTAATGGGTTGAAAAGGGCATTATCTGTTGCTTCTCATGAGAGTGAAATGCCATTGAATATATGGTCTCGTGATTGTGTTTGGATTTTGGTTCATACTTCACGATTATTAATATTCAGGGGAAGCCATAAAGCTATTGCTTGTTCCTTTTTATATTTTTGTTGAGATGGATGGCATGCCACATATGATGCATTTACAGTTGCACATCGTCTTGAAGATGGCCCTGCTCTGAATCCATAGTGCATTGCAGTTCACACCTCCAGGAATCGCCTAGGCAAGATGATGCGGAGGGTAGAAAAAGGAAAGAGAGAGGATTGATGGAAGCAGTTTTTCACTGAAACTCGTTTATTCAGCTTTTCAAGAGAGTCAGAATTTTCTGCTTTATCGTTGTTATTATTTATGAGGCAACACGCCTCGCAGATTAGGAAGATATCAGACAGCTGAGGACTTCAATTTTATGCATTTTCTTCTCTCATCCTTAGCTCATGAGACATTTATAGTACTCATTTGAAGAAAAAAAAAAGGCCAGAGATGAAATGGATTGGAAAGCCTATAGGGGTGTTCACGGGACGGATCGGGACCGGGATAGGCCCGTCCCGGTTCCGTCCCGATGAACAGTAATGGGACAGATTTTCTGTCCCATGTCCCGGCCCGTCCCGAGGTTGTCCCGGTCCCAGTCGGGACGGGACGGATCCGGGACGGGACCGGGACGTCCCGAAATATTTTTTTTTTAATTTTTTTTAATTTTTTTAAAAAAATCTGATTTTTTTAATTATATTTTTTTGAGCTTAAATCTTATAAAAACATCTTTTTTATTTGTTTGGGCACTCTTAAACAAAAGCTCAAAATATTACATATAATAGTTATTAAAAACTCTAAACAAAAGCTTTTAACACAATAAAAACTTGCTAAAAAATCTAATCATCAATAATCTCAAATCATTAACAAATATAAAAACTCTAAATAAATATATCCATAGTTTTATACAATAGTCTCAAATCTTAAAAAAATATGAAAAAAATGATATTATATAAAAAGTTAAAAAAATTAATTTTTTTTTTTAAAAAAGGGACCGGGACGGGCCTGTCCCTTTTTTGTCCCGTCCCGGTTTGTCCCGTCCCGAAAAATTTCGGGACGGATCCGTCCCGTCCCAATAAGACCGGGACCGGAACGGGCCGACCGGGACGGGCCGGCTTTGAACACCCCTAAAAGCCTATACCATTGGCGAGAGGTTAAGTTGTTCACCAGCCAACTTAGTTAATGCACTTACTCGGTCCTGAATATAAAAACTAATTAATTACTGAATAAATTAAAAAAACTAATTAAGTTAATTATTTGTAATAAATATGTGTTATCTTTTCTAAAATACTTTTGCTAATTATATATATTACTTAAAACTACTATTTAATAAAATCTTTAACATATACAACTATTATAAAAACTACTTTAAAAAAATAAATAAATAAGAAAGGCAAAATAAATTTAAATCTTATATTTAAAACCAAATTGAAAGTCAAATTAACTCTTATATTAAAAACAAAAGATAGTATCACATACTACAATTTTTACTTTTTAAACTAATAAATTAACAAAAAGGAATTATTTGAGTTCCTTGTGTATTAATAATTATTCTTTCACATTTTTTCTTCTGCTGAAAAATTACAGGCATAAATATAAGTAATATTAAAAATTTCACCGTGTAAAATCCACTTGGAAATAATTGGTTACCGTATCTTTTTTACCTTTACCTATCAATTGAATTGATAGGAAAAACGTTTCTTCCCACCCTACTCGACTTAAACTCTCAATAAACCCTCGTGCTACAAAAACAAAAGTAAAACCTATCAATGAAGAGTATACTACAATACTGAAGCGGACTAATTAAAAGAGAAAGCCTTTCCTTGAGGCTCAAGGGTAATGTGAAGCAAAATACATATCACCCGCGCAATTTGATCGAAAATGCATTTCAAATTTCCAGCATTGTACCATATTCCAACAAATGGAATATGCTTAGTAACTCACTATTCTTGCATTATAAGTTTCATGAAGATGAATGACCAATGTTCGCTATGAGCATGAAGACGAGTATCGACATAAGATATTCGGTCTTGATAATTCGCGGGATGTCAAACCAAAATTGCCCGAGTTTGGCCGTGCGAGAGTGCTCCAGCTGATGCAGCAAATGGTCATTTTTGCATATGAATTTGGACCTAAGCATTGCATAATCCTTAAGCCGAAGTCATACATGAGACAGGATGCATGCCTCAGGCTCTGTCAATGAACCTAAAGGCATGAATCTACGTCAATAAAATGACAGTTATGCAATCATGAAAAATGAAACACTGTTAGACCACTAGTTCAAGCAAATCTTTAACAGAGCTACAATGTGAACCTTAACTACTTCCCAGCCGAGTAATCTGAGAGATAATCTGCTTGAAATTTTAGCTTTATCATCATCAAATGTGAAAACAATGGGGCACGAGAGCTCAAAGTCCAAAGAACTGATGCTAAAAGCTGCGCAGATAATTCAAACAATTTATTTTTTCCCTTTTAGAACTTATATGTGCATTAAGTTCTGTTATGAATTGGTCCCCTCTTCATCAAAGTTGAACCATTCCAGTCGAGTCGAGTTGGTTCATCCTTTAGGTGCTAAGATTCACAAGCAGCTTAGAGAATAGAACAATCATAATCACTTGATGATAAAGCACATAACTTCCCTTGCTAATCTGTTGTATTAGCAAAATTCACTAGCAGTCTGCTATGAATTTCTCTTTTTTCCTAATAAATTTTTCTATCCAAGAAGAAAAGGGAAAAAGCTACATCAAATTTGAAGACATGTTTGATCTTCTTTAGCTCTCAAGAGACAGCTGAATGCCCGAAAGCATCTAATTTCTTCTTTTGTTTTCCCTCTTCTCTAAACAAGCTCAGTACTAATAGTCTCCATTCTATCAAATATTTTCACCCTTTTCAAAATGTGCCTTCATCGAGTTCCTTGGAAGAATGCCCCCTTTTCACGTTTACTCATTATACCTGCTATTCTGTAAGGTGAATCCTCGGTTGATATTTAATTTTACAAAAAGGAAATGTCAAGGATAAATGATGGCAGAAGACTAATAGCTAGCTGTGACCTGTTAGCACATCTCTGTCAATGCCAGGTAAACATATTTGACAAAACTACGTTACTATGGCTTGATCAAGCATTAGATTAAAAGGAAAACGAAAGAAGAAAAGAGAAAAAAGAAAAGAAACAAGAGGAAGTAGGGGATGCCAAACCTGCTTTTCTTCCCATTGGATATTTGAACCATGTAGACATCATGCTCCACGGTTGGGACAGACATTAGCAAAGTGAGACGGATCACCACACACAAAGCACCTTCTACCAGATATAGGATCACCAGTAGCTGATACAAAAGTCACTGAAGCAGTATGAGGCCCATTCCGGCTCCCTCTACCTCGACCTGCATTTCTGGTAGTATTAGACACTGGAATACTATTTGTGCGAGTCACACTTCCCCTCCCAGTGCTATTGTTGAGGCTATCCTCCCATCTGTGGGGGTAAAATGTAAAGCATTACATTTCTATAAATTTCTGCATTGTTCATCACTAAGACAGATTTAGTTTATTTGTTGGTGTAAAGCAAACGGAATAAGGTTGAAATGTTAATCATTCCATTGTCTAACAATTTTAGTGCGAACACATGTACTTTGACCGGTAGCAATGTTGTGATAATAATTTTGCATAAATAAGCATTGACAAAACTCCCCTCCTCCCAAAAAAGACAAGAGGAACTATGTACGCACCACAGAACAAGCCCAGTAACTTCCACTGATTGAAAATCTCTAAGATTTCCGACAAAATAACTCCGTCTCAAAAAAACTATCATACAATATTTTTTTGATTAACCAAAGATCACAAATTCACATACACAAAAAAATTGCACTCCTGAGATGGACACGTGTAGAACTTCCTTCCCCTGTTATTTGATGTATTTGCAGTTCTCAAGATACATGGTTTTCCGCACGTATTGCATGAAATAGACGCTTCCCCTGCAACATTAAAAGGTTTCCAAGAAGCCATGCATGAAAATTCAACCTTTTAAGAATTCTATATTGAAAGTAAAAGTAACACCAAAATTTCAAGGCTCCTAAGAATTAATAGGCTTCCCTTGCTGCAGACAGTGTCAGTTCTAAATGTTAATGTTCCGACAAAAAAATTTAGATGCATAGATATAAATTATAACCTGGGCAGAAGCAGGAATATGCTACGAAACTCAGCAAAGCATAAGAAATTAATGCTTTGCAGAATGATTATAGTTTATCAGTTTGACATGTTTAACATAAGTTGATTTGGACCAGGCAGGTTGTTTCTTTGGGCAGGCAAGGTGGATAACCAAAAACCTGGGCAGCCTGTCAACATTAAATTAAGAAAAAAGAGAGCCTCTGAACTCTACCACTATGTTGGTTCATTCCACGATGTCGAGCATTTCTGGAGCCTGAAACATGTGAAGGACAATCATTGGAAAAATGCCCTGTCTCTTGACAGTACATACAAACTGTTTGCCTCATGTTAGTCCGGGGAGCATTGCTGGGTGGTGCAGTAGATCCTCTCCCTCTTGCTGGAGAACATGTTAAGGTACAATTATAATTCTCTTTTTTTTTTCCATGAGAATAATGGAAATGGCAGCAAAAGAATAAAATAGGCAATGCATCGATCAATCGCTGTCAAATATTTTCTTCAACTCCCCCCCGCCCAGGGGGGAAGATCAAGATGAAAAAGTTCCATATACAGCAATCTTGTTAGAAAATACAAATTCAGGATAAAAAAGTCCAAAATAAAATAATCTTATCCTTAGAAAATACAAATATCCAATACGTTAAATTTAGTGGTCTCATTTACAAATGGTTCGTCAAAAACACTGAACTTGGATTGAAACTTCCCATATGCATATTCATTACCTGAAGACTTTTGTGCATGAGAAACACGCAAATATTATGTGCATCTTGGTTGAATAAAACTTCATATGAAAAAAGAAAAGGACAAAAAAAGAAGTATTGTAGGCGTTTTGTTTAATAGAGTCTATGGCAACTACTTAAGGTCGTTTGGTGCATGGAAAGCAAAAGCTTTCTATTTCCATCGCACAAAAATAAGATATGTAATACATATATTATACTTCGTTATCATTATTTAATGGATTGTCCTTTGCTATTATTATTATCATTATTTTTATTCAAGGGCACAAA